TATAAAATCAGGTCTTCCTATCGTAATAGATTCAATTTTCCAGCATTATAATCTAATATTACTCTAATATTATTACACTCCAGTATTACAATTACTCCTATATAATATAAAACGAACTCATGGTTCGAAAGATCAAATACAAAATCATTTCATAAACTTGATACATGAATCTCCGTTCTACCATTCATATTTGCATACATTCATCCATATCTGGAAAACTGGAATATCGTATCACAATAGAAGGTTCGTTATAATTGCTAAATATGGTTTCCTTCTACCATTCGAAGCAATTCCAGGGCAAATTTTACATAAATTCTATAAAACAACATTTTCAATATGAACGAATCTTCCATAAGAAATCATAATTATTCCTTAAAACAATAAAATCAAACAATTTCGTTAATTTCTTCCTGTAAAATCAGGTCTTCCTATCGTAATAGATTCAATTTTCCAGCATTACAATCTAATATTACTCTAATATTATTACAGTCCAGTATTACAGTTACTCCTATATAATATAAAACGAACTCATGGTTCGAAAGATCAAATACAAAATCATTTCATAAACTTGATACATGAATCTCCGTTCTACCATTCATATTTGCATACATTTATCCATATCTGAAAACTGGAATATCGTATCACAATAGAAGGTTCGTTAAAATTGTTAAATATGGTTTCCTTCTACCATTCGAAGCAATTCCAAGGTAAATTTTACATAAATTCTATAAAACAACATTTTCAATATGAACGAATCTTCCATAAGAAATCATAATTATTCCTTAATACAATAAAATCAAACAATTTCGTTAATTTCTTCCTGTAAAATCAGGTCTTCCTATCGTAATAGATTCAATTTTCCAGCATTATAATCTAATATTACTCTAATATTATTACAGTCCAGTATTACAATTACTCCTATATAATATAAAACGAACTCATGGTTCGAAAGTTCAAATACAAAATCATTCCATAAACTTGATACATGAATCTCCGTTCTACCATTCATATTTGCACACATTCGTCCATATCTGGAAAACTGGAATATCGTATCGCGGTAGAAGGGTTCGTTAAAATTGTTAAATACGTCTCCCTTCCGCCATTCGAAGCAATTCGAGGGCAAATATTACGAAACTTCCGGTTACGTAAATAATCGAAGACCCCCGTATTCCGTTGGTTCGCGGGAAGTTGGCGTCCCGCGCGCGACAAATCCCGCAAGAACGGAGTTCCCGACTGCTGAATTTCGGTCCCGAACGTCGTCGATTACACTGGAATCCGCGGTCGGTTACAACGTTCCGTCCCGGAATTTAAACAAGACCCAGCCCGGCACTGAAACAACACTGTCTCCCGCGGTTTCCGAGGTTTTGATGGATCCAGCCGTAGCTTCCGGGCGTCGGGGACCAGTTCCGCTCGATATCGTTCCAGCCTCCCGTTTGGTAATGCTCGCCAAACTTCGTGTATGAACAGTCGACGGTGGATGGGAGGTTGGCCCCTCCCCGGAAATCTTAATGAAGACTTAGGGGGCCGCTTTGATCGCCGCGAACCATTATGGCGACGCGTCCCTGCTCGAAAACGTCCACTTTGTGCAATCGTCGAAAGTCCAATAGGACGTTCAGCGGAGGGTCTCATCCGACAAATAATACCGTCTGCTTCGATCGTGTAAATAGCTCCGGTATTATACGGCAGCTAAGGAGCAGTTGATTTATTAGGTCGCGTTGCTTCCGACGGTTTTTCAGCCTCCGTTTCTCAGACCTGGCTCGTATTGTTCCCGTAAAGAGGATTTGCCCCGGTAGTAACGCTCCTCTTGCGAACGGCTGAGGAGAGTTTATTGGATTCTGCTTGAATCCGCGGAATCGGAAAGCCATGACTGACGGGGAACTGTTTATTCATTTCGAGTTCGAGTCAAAACGGCGCACGGGGTCGTTGGTTGCTTTCTTTCTTGTTCCTGGATCGTTGGAGAAACCTGGATATTAAACTTTGGATATTGGACACTAGAACTACCAACAATGTGTGTTTATTTGTACCAAAGAAATTAAAACGAAATAAATGGTACTTCATTCTTTTATCGTGGTAAATTTGTGGAAATCCAGTCTAGTAGATTTGTAATAATTTTTATTAGAAATTACGAATTTTGACCAGTTTGGTAGTCCTAGTGTTGAAGAATATTTTCTGAAATCAGTAACCCTTCAATTTGACTCGTATAACACTCTACATACACGGAAGAAATAGCAGTTCCAAACACGATGAGGATGAAAATGGCGAAATTAAATTATACTTTACCTAATTCGAATCAGGAAAAAATAACTTGAAACTCCCGCGTTAGAATTGTGGTAATTTCAAGAATTTTTTGAATTTTAAGGTACCAGAGGATTCAGGTTATATTTCAAGCTTCTTTTTTTAGTATTTAACACTAAAACTACGGGCAATTATAGTGCATTTATTACTACCAGAAATATTAATATCATAGAAACTTGAAAAAATGCCTTACAGAAAATTACGGTAATTTATCAAAAATTTTTACATTTAACTTAACTCTGTATGTGTGTGTGTGTGTCCAATTGAAGGTGTATCGAATAAACATGAGAATTATAGTGAGATAACATAGGTTGTCCTAAACAACCCCTCGAAACGATTCTATATTAATATTAAACTCTATCTGTTAATATTTCATTCCAAATTTTTAGTCCTTGAGTTTGGTTCTCCTTGAAAGAAAAGAATGATAAATGACTGTTAAAGAACATGGATCGCATTGTTAAAATCTTTTCATCAAGAATTGATTTTCATTTTAATTAGAGAAACAAGATGATCGTGTATGTTACATTTAAAAAACGATAACGTCGTTTAATCTGTCCCTTGAAAATGTCATGCAATGAATATACATCTCCTACGATCCAGCTCGCTGTAAAATTATTAAAAAGTTCCTTAGCGTCGTGAGAGCCAAAGTTTCCTTGTTAACAATGTAGCTGGACTGCAGTTATTTTTTATTTGCCCATTCTCCATAATTTAGTGCGCTACAGTATTGAATTTTATAAAATGAACACAAAGTTCCTTGCAGAATATTCGTAACCTGCTCGAAGTTTCGAAATATTACGTAAAATTAAACGGACGAATAGGAGTCTCATAATTGCTAATAAAACATTTTTTAAATTAATTCTTCCATATTTGTATAGTTGCTACTGACAGCTAATGTGACTTCGAGCATCGTCTAAAAACAAATTTAACGTGGAATTATTTAAAAATATGAAAACTGAATTATTTATCAAACTAGAAGTACTTAATTCTGATAAATATTTTACAACGTGTTTGCTGCACGATCGATAACAATTACGAATAATTAGCAACGCCCGCTGGTATATTTATGTCCGGCTAATAAGTAATCGATCGGTTAATTGAGTTCGTTATACTATTTATGCGAGGCGGTAAAAACGAACGATCGTAAATCACCTTGAAAAATACTCCCGAATTTTAACCGGTCGCGATTTTAACGGCCTGGATAAATAATGCCCGCCTCCCCCGTGTGGGGTAAATCGCGATTGCCTGGGATCGATAAAAGATATAAATCTTTGCTAATATGTAATTACTATGTTAATGCGCGCGTTAATAATCGTGTTTCTGGATTTATCTTTCAATTGCTCCTGTTCGCCGGCCGTGCGATTTAAATATAAATAAAAATCCGCGAAGCCATCGAATCGTTTCGCGTTTATACTTAATTATTACGTCGCTGCCGTTGTTATTATCATTACTCTCATTATTTGTAATACTTTTGCAGCTGAAGTTACGGTTGTTGCGGAATGTTTACGGCTGAACAATTTTATTTCTACTGAACTGTCGAGTTTTTCTACGTTGTTTCGATATTGATACAAATTGGGCTTTATTCATTAAAATAATCATATTCAACATCAAATATTTAGTTTAAAAACTTCGTAAGTAAGCTTTTTGTAAACTCCTTCGAGATTTTTGTACATATATCTTCCATTAATTATTAAAATTTGCTTATGTATTTTGTTTAATTTTCTTAAACCATGGTGGCAAGCAATTATAAATTATACATTTGTATTGTTCTGTTATCAAAAGGTGAAATTATATATATTTACTATTTTACTTTTATAGTATATAGTTGGAATAATAAAAAAAAGAATATACATGGTCCTCAAAATTTGAATTCAGGGATTAATTTCTCTTAAAAATGAATTAAAATATTATACTAACTCTAGTATCAATGTTTCATCATTTATTACAAAGAATATCGAAAATATCAACAAGAAAAGAATAATCACCTTTAGCTGCGATAATATGTATACTTGGCTTGCAGCGATCAACCAATTAAACAGTTTGATTCGATCATTAATGATTCCATCCCACTAATTAACGTAATTATATTTACCAATGATTTAATTACTTTATCTTGACGTATTCGTATTTAACGAGATTTAATCCACACTTAATTAACGCGTAATTCATCGTAACCCAGATCTAACTCAGACCTAATTAATATCCAATTCAGATCCAACCACCAACCAAGACCCACGTCGAATTAATACCTAACGCACATTCGATTCGCCTTAAGCCAGTTGCAAATCCGCAAATTATTAATACCCTAAAATTTTTCCTCGAATCAACGAAATAATCGCAAATCTATTATTCGTATAAAAATATTTGCTCAAATTTTAATTTATACTCGCAAAGGAATTCTTTTGCGTTTGAATATCATCAATTTCAATAAAGCTACTTGCTCGGAGATCCAAATAAAAGAGAATCTCGTTTAAATGTACATTAATTTGAAAAAGTAATCACGGCCTTTTAAAAGTAATTGCACACGCACAGAAAATTCCAGCGATGCATTAACGTCGGGAAAATGCGTTAATATCGGTTTCCGTTTTCCTCGCTGTGATGTTTAACGGAGTAAATCGGGCCGCGTATCGTTTCGACGGGATCGAGATACGCGGCGGGCGTGGATCGAAGAAGTAATGAAAATGTTTTTTTCCGTCCCCTTTTTTCAGGTCGAATTCGTGGCGGAGGGGGTGAAAATGGATCTGATCGAGGCGACCAGAAGCGGAGCCGCCGGGGCGGCCGCTTGGGGCAAAATAGATTTCCACTGTCCGGAGCCAAGAGCCTCGGACCCAATCACTTTCACCACAAGGGACTCTCATCTCGTGAGTATACTCGCTATATTATTCCATTATGAAAAATAGGAAACCCGCCACGAACGCCGCGAATAGCCTGTAGCCGCCGCTGAACTTGACATCCGTTTGATCGCGACGAACCTTCAGGATATTACTTCCCTCCTCTCCCCTTCCACGATATTGATAAATCAGACACGTTTCCACCCTTTGTGCTAGACTATTTTTACTACAAAGACTACTGTAGTTCTTTGAACCTCGAAGGATTAGTGTATTTCTTTGAATATGGCAGGTCATAATAGTTGGAGACAATTGCTTAAAATGTACATTCAGTTTACTAGCTGTTTTGGTGAAAATTTAAGTATTATTCAAGTGTTTACCATAGCTAGACTTCGATTCACAAATGGACAAACACTATTTATAAGTTACTTATTTTTTTTTAAATTATTTCTTTGAATATGGCAGGTCATAATAGTTGGAGGCAATTGCTTAAAATGTACATTCAGTTTACTAGCTTTTTTGGTGAAAATTCAAGTATTATTCAATTGTTTACCATAGCTAGACTTCGATTCACAAATGGACAAACACTATTTATAAGTTACTTATTTTTTTTTAAATTATTTCTTTGAATATGGCAGGTCATAATAGTTGGAGGCAATTGCTTAAAATGTACATTCAGTTTACTAGCTTTTTTGGTGAAAATTTAAGTATTATTCAATTGTTTACCATAGCTAGACTTCGATTCACAAATGGACAAACACTATTTATAAGTTACTTATTTTTTTTTAAATTATTTCTTTGAATATGGCAGGTCATAATAGTTGGAGGCAATTGCTTAAAATGTACATTCAGTTTACCAGCTTTTTTGGTGAAAATTTAAGTATTATTCAATTGTTTACCATAGCTAGACTTCGATTCACAAATGGACAAACACTATTTATAAGTTACTTACTTTTTGTTTAATTATTTCTTTGAATATGGCAGGTCATAATAGTTGGAGGCAATTGCTTAAAATGTACATTCAGTTTACTAGCTGTTTTGGTGAAAATTTAAGTACTATTCAAGTGTTTACCATAGCTAGACTTCGATTCACAAATGGACAAACACTATTTATAAGTTACTTACTTTTTGTTTAATTATTTCTTTGAATATGGCAGGTCATAATAGTTGGAGGCAATTGCTTAAAATGTACATTCAGTTTACTAGCTTTTTTGATGAAAATTTAAGTATTATTCAATTGTTTACCATAGCTAGACTTCGATTCACAAATGGACAAACACTATTTATAATTACTTATTTTTTTTTATATTATTTCTTTGAATATGGCCCATCATAATAGTTGGATGCTGAGGAATTGCTTAAAAAGTACATTCAGAGTTTACTAGCTTCTTCTGTGAAAATTTAAATATTATTCATTTACACTATATATAAATCTGTAAATTACTTATTATTTTAAAATTGATAGTTACAAAAATCGAAGTTCAGTTCAATAATATATTACTCGTTATTTATAGAGTTGGTAAAAAAATTAGTAAACAACCGACCAACGGAATGCATCAAAAATTTAATAAGACTTTTTATTTTAAACTTTCGTTACGAAGAACAGTAATTTCGAACAATATCACATCGAGGATATTCTAGTATTTACTTTGTGTGTTAAAATAATTTGTACAGAGTCACATATAGTAATACTTTTAATAAATATTCAAATTTTAGATTCAATTTAATTTTGATATTTGAACAGCTCCAGTTCAATGTTTGGTCCAACTTTGTATGGATTATCATAGTGTTCCTCAAATATTTTAATGAAATACCTCCGCCACAGCATTCGGAGTTCCAAAGTTTCGGATACTTAGCATTTAAATGTTTTTTAAATACATAATATACCGTTTCCTCCATGAAATTCTAATGTTCGAGAAAACTTCTTAGAATATTTGGATATTTCAGAGTTCCATGCTTCGAGACGTTTGATATTTAAACGTTGTTTAATTCCCGCGTTCGATATAGGCGCCAACATTTTAAGAAACGTGGAACTTTCGGAAGAGGTTTAAGGTTCGGAAACTTTGGCACTTGAAATTTATCAAAATATTGTATTATGCTAAATAGAGGATTCAAAGGCTCCTCTTCTACTGTTTCTAATTATGGGGACGACTGTAGGAAAGGCTTATTAATGAGTTCCCCAGTGAATTCAGGACGAATTACCATAATTTGTATTGCCTTTACAACCAACGAACTTTGCGATTAATTTGATATTTTTAATATACTAATATACATAAAGTTCTCGGTCTATTTTGAAACAATTTTATAATTGAGAATGAAATTCTACATCCGCCTGTTGAATAATTGTCAGTTTAAAATGGCCGTATCCTTATTTCAAAAACAACAATTTTAATTCAATTTACTTGTTTGTCACTGGCTTTAGATCTATATTAATAAAGATATGCGACGCGTTCGTTAGTTACGAAAGCAAACAGATATGACAAAGTTTTAATTTTCATTAGCGAAAACAAAATTCATTCCCATGTTCGTTGCTTATTACCGGGCTGCGAATTCTATCCGTTCGTTACTCATTATTACGAAAAATGTACGTAAAATATATTTCATATATTAGTACACGCATAATAATAATTGTTCAAAGGTTTTTCATTGTTTTGTAACAAGAGCAATTTGTCAACGTTGCTTCGGGCCCTTCGCGGAATTAAATTCGTTAATAATAGAACGATAAAAGGAACGAAAGCATATCAAAAGAAGAGACATAAAAATAAATTTATTTTTAATCACAATTTCCCAAAGATCGTTTAAAGTTTGAAATACTATTTCAAAAAATAAAGTCGACGAATAATAAATCTCACAGACCAGAACTGTATTTTTCTCGTCTCGAGTCTGAAACTTTAAGATGGATGAAAGTCCATCTCGTTCAAAATTATGGACGTCAACTTTCGTGGTCGTCCACTTTGGTGTACGGAGGATTTCAATGAAAATATTTGAGAAACACTGAAACGGTCCGCGCGACTATCGGCGAACCGCGCTTTTAGGGGCCGCCGAAACGTCGTCGTTACCATTGCAAATCCTTGTTACCCTGTCTATCCTGACGCAAAGGTGGACACGGTCAGGTCAAAAGGGCGCAGAGTGCGAACTAGAATGGGGCTAGGGTTGCCAGGCGGGCCGGATATATGTTCCCTCAAAGCACATTTCGCAGTCCTCTTGTCGGCCCTTGTTTACGAGCGTGACCGTTCCTGGATTATGGTCACCATCGGTACACTTTATACGGCCAACGGGTTGCCGAATGGTGCGTCCAATATCGACTTGGCTACAGCGTCATTGCTCGATGATGATCCCACCTAATGCCTCCGATAGTCAGTGGCGAAACGATGAACAGAACGGTTCTCAAATCTTCGGTGTTTAACTATCGAAGAAAGTGCAGTTTGTATAGGTTGAATCGTTAAAAAATGTCCATTTATTATCTAGCGATCGAAATTGTCCATCTATTAAGCCTTTGGCATACAATTATTGTCACTGATTCTTAAAAAGTTCTTGATATGAAGTTTCACAATGATGAAGCTACTCGGTCGTTATCAAACCTCATACAGGGTGTTCGACCATCCCTGCGAAAAATTTCAGAGATTCTAGAGGCCAAAATAAGATGAAAATTAAGAATGCCAATTTGTTGATTGAGGCTTCGTTAAAAAGTTATTAATAAAATTTGTCCACCTACACGAATTTTTTTCTCAGAACTGCGTGGGATTTCGGGTGTATGTCTATTCACCAAAAGTGATTGTAATGGACCCCTGCAACCGAAAATAATTTTTCCGTAACGATTTGAAATTTTCTTTTTCGTCAAAGAATTTTTCCCCCTTGTCGATTTTTCTTAAAAATTCGTTTTTATTTTTAGTAATTTTGTTTGATGGCCTATAGAAAAGTTGTCCAATACTTTTTTGTAGGTACCAATGAGCTTTACTTCAGAAAAAAGTTTCATTTAAATATATTCACTATTACAGGGGTTATGACTGTTTGAAAATTGGACCATTTTTATGGGGTTTTTCTGACTTTACGGGGTCAAGGAACAACTTTTTCAATATTGTTAGAATTTCTACATATCCTTCACTAAAATACGCGTTATTTGAATTTTGAAATATTAAAATCCTTCAATCCGTTCGGAAGTTATGATGTTTTAAAGGTACGCATGAAATTTCAGTGAAACATATCAATGGTATGGTCAGACATTATATTTTCGGTAATGAATTTTTTTCTCGAAAGTGCGCAGGATTTCGAGGGTATGTCTATTCACCGAAAGTTATTGTAATTGACCTCCGCAGCCAATAATAATTTTTTCAGAATGATTTGAAATTTTTTAATTTCGATGAAAAATTTTCCGGTCGATATGGAACTTTAAACGTTAATAACTTTTTAATGAAGCCTCAATCAGCAAATTGGTATTCTTGATTTTCGTTTTATTTTGACCTCTAGAATCTCCCATTAAAATTTTTCCCAGGGTTGGCCAAACACCCTGTATATTAAAATCTCACATTTGTACAATCTCTAAGTATACGTAAAACAATCTATTCTATTTCGTAGCCATTCCTTGCAGCAGCAAATTTAAACAAAATTAAATAGTATACGTTTTGAAAAATTATATTAAATCGTACGTCAAGGGTTAAACCCTTAAAGTAAACCCTTAAGTTAAACGTATAAATATGTCTCACACTTCTAAAATATTACAAGAAATAATTTCTTTCAACAAGAACATTATTACGATTAGCAGTTTCGTTTGAAGATTACTCGAGATTTCGAAGCCAGCACTTCGTCCGAGTTTTACTATAATTTATTAATAAAGCCATTTGGATACTACGTTAAGACCAACATTTATTTTCCTGCTTGGTCCATTAAGAGTCGAATGCACTCTATTTCTGCACAAGCTTTCCATACATGAAATACTGTTGTAATAAAACGCATTATGTTTTCTAAACATAAATAAATAAGAAGCTCTTTAAACCGCTATTGAAATTATTCTATTTATGATTTAGAACAATAAC